CCCATATATCGATTTTGGTGCCGTGTCCGGTAACCCAGAAAACAGAAACGTATAGTCTCCTTGTTCGATAGACCCTTGGCCTTTCCACCTAGTTTCAGACATTGCACATAGACTCATATGATGTGCTCTGAGTACCTCGCAGACTTCCCCCGGTTTAGTTGCTACTGCCCCCTCCATCGTCAGTATCCCATCCTGATTGGAGATACTAGTATGCATAGTGCGAACATTGACGGCCCCCCAGTGTAGTTGAAGTGTACGACGCTTCCATAACTGTTTGGCTTTCAGGCGGCCAGCTACCGCCTTCAAGAGTGGCTGTTCACAGTTAGGGAAACTTGGTCGAGAAAACGTTAAGCGGTCTTGAGCAAGAAAAGAAAAGGGAGACGCAGGTTGCTAGCCCACGCCCCCCCTGGGAGGACTCGGAGGTCGGGACCTCACAAAGTGAGGGACCGGACCGACCCCGAGGGCCCCCCCCCAGTGCGGCTACCGTTAGCTGCTGCGTGTATCGGGATAGTGCAGGATGTCGTGCTGGGGCCCAATCGAGAGATAGTGACATTCACATCAGTACAAGAATGCAGCAGGCACACCTGAACACCCACCTACACTGCCTGGGTCAGCAGGTAGGCTTCTTTGAGGTGGTAGTCCGTCTTGGTCCAGGAATCGCCGCTGACGGCTCCTCGTCAGCTCATCGTTGTGCTTGAACTTGGCCGCGTTGTCTTGATAGACCCGGAAGCTCGCGGCAGGCTTCGTCTCCACATCCTCCGGTGCCACGGTGACCGCCGCATGCGGGCGAGCGTTGTAGGCCTCCGTAGCTTCGTCCACGTGGTCGCCCCACCCGCCGCCGTGCCGCGCCACCTCACCCGCCAGGTCCTTCTTCAATGTTTGCATCGCTCGGTCCACCACCGCCGTTGCATTGCGGTCCGTCGGATCCTTCTGCCGGTGCACCACGCCCGCGGGCAGTGCGGCCTCGAGGCCCCGGAACTCGTTGCCCATGTCGGTCGTGACGACGTAATTCGACTCGTCCTGAACCAATTTCGGGATGATCTCCGCAGCCGCCCTCGTCACCGTTTGGGCCGACTTGTCGGGCAGGGCCTTCGTGGCCACCTCCCGTGTGAACACGTCCGTGACCACCAGCCCAAACTTGTCGGGTGTTCTGGCTGAAATCGATGAGGTCTGCCTGCAGGCGGTCGTTCGGCCCCTCCGCCGCACTCTTGCCCAGGCTCCTGGGCTTGGGCGCCAGGATCTGCCTGGCCACGTCGCTGCGCAACGCCGCCTGTGCTCGCGCACTGGTGAGGTCCGCCCGCCCCGGGAACTCCCGTCGAGCGATCTGATAGAGCGTCCTGGGGTCCCTCACGTTAAAGTCTCTAGCAAGCTGCTGGAACAGCCCTATCGCCTCCTCCTCCGCCATTTTTTAGGAACTATCGACCAAGTTTCAGGGGTTGGCGTACCATCCCTTACAAGCCCGTTTTTGGGCACAAAACGCCCACCAAAACCGCATTCCCCCAGGCCCGGCGGTACCCTGGGGGAATAGCTTTTTGGGCTCAATCCGAGTCCTTGCGCTTCTTCTCGAGCTTTTCGACCCGCTTTTGCAGCTTCTTGACCACGCCCCACAGCACCACCGAGAGCTTCTGGTAGTCGAGGGCCATGAGCTCTCTCCCGTCCAAATTCTTCGTCTTGCACATCGTCGCGCCCAGCTTCCCGCTGGCCTGCACGTCCTGGGCCACGAAGCCGATCTGCTCCTTGCCGCCCCCGATGCGGTCGTAGATCTGCGGCTCCACCGCGTCGAAGGTCTCCTGCAGCTCCTCCTCCGGGATGGCCCGCACGTTCTCCTTGAGCGCCCGGTCGCTCAAATTGACGAAGCCGTAGCCGAAGATCAGCTCCCCGTTGTTGCTGCCGCCGGTGTTGGGCTCGATGGCGAGGTTCGCCAGGCCGGAGGTGGTGTTGAAGGCGATGAACTGGTCCGACGCGTTGAGCTGCACGCCGCCGTCGGCCAGCGCCACCAGCTCGCCCTTCCCGCCGCTGATCGAGTCGTTCTGAGTGGTCAGGTAGAGCCGCGCCACGCCCGTGGGGGCCTGGTTGATGACGGCCAGCTCGCAGAAGCCGCCCGGGGCTCCGAGCCCCGTGACCTCGGCTAGGTCGAGTTGACCTGCACTCCCGAGGTGCCGCCCGACAGGCACAGGTACGGCACGCTGGGCTCGGGTGCGATGGCCCCGTTGACCAGCAGGGTGTCATCCACCAGAACCCCGTTGCTGCCGCCCTGGATGGTGAGCACCGACGCCGCAGGATCGCAGCGCACCAGCGGCGCCTCGACCGCAAATTGCTCACGACCTCCAGATTGGCGGTGACGCTGCTGCTCGAGTTGAAGGTGCCGCTGGCGGCCGTGCTGCCCACCAGGAGCTGGGCGAAATCCGCCGTCGTCGCGTTCAGAGTGCTGGCCGCGGCCACCGTGACGTCCCGGTCCAGGCTGATGCCGCCGTCGGCGAAGGAGGCCAGCAGGGCGCCGTCCTCCCTGCGGACGGTCACCAGGGCGTTTTGGATCTGCAGGTCGCCCGCTGCGCTCTGCAGCTGGGGCGTGTCCACGAAGCTCGTGACCGTTAGCGAGTTGACCGTGAGGTCCGCCGCGGGGTCCACGCCCGGACTGTTCTCGAGGTCCGTGACCCGCTGGCCCAGGGAGTTGAAATTGGCGATGAGGGGGTAGCGGGTGTCGCTCTGACCTTTGCTCCAGCAGTCGCAGGAGATCTGGAGGGTGCTGCCGTTGCCCAGGATCGGCTGGGCGGAGAGGGGAGTTTGGCACAACAGGTTTCTGATTATCTTCGGAGTGAACTGGGTTTGGATCAAGTTATAGATCCCACTGCCCTCCGCGCCGGGGGCCACCGGGAAGTACCTCGCGTCGAGGGGCCCCAGGTCGTTGGTCCTCAGGAAGCGGCCGTCCGCTTCCGCTTTCGCCCAGGAGTCGCTCCGGATGCGCAGGGTGGACTGGTTGCCCAGGATGGCGTCGCCGGTCAGCGGCGCCTCGAGGAGCAGGTTCCTCACGATGCGGGGCGTGAACTGCTCTTGGACCAAGTTCCAGATCTGCCCCGACTCCGCGCCGGGAGCTCTCACGAAGTAGCGGGCGTCCCCCGCCGTTTGGTCCAGGAAGCCGGAGCTGGCCAGAGCATCGTCGATCTCCGTTTGGGTGCGCCCGCTGGTCCAGTACTGCGTGAAAGTGGCCGTGAGCTGCGAGTCCAGCTCGGTGCGCGGATAATAGGCCAGCAGCTCGTTGGCCACGTAAGTTTGAGTTTCCGCGGACACGGCGTTGGCGATGGCCTGGTCCGTTTCCGCTCGGGTGTAGAAGTCCAGCAGGGCCGTGATGATCTTGTTGTCGACCTGGCTGCTGTTGTCGTAGCTCGACAGCGCCGAGGAGATGGCCGCGCTCACTTGGCTGCTGGTCTGGTAGTTCGACAGCTCGCCGGCCACGAAGCTCGACACCTCGCTCTGGTCCCAGTAGGGCACCAGCTCTCCTGCGATGAGCGCCAGCACCTGGGCCTCCGTCCTGTACTGCGTGAGATTCAGCGCGTCGAGCGCCGCGGTGATTGCAGCTCCGGTTTCGAGCTGCGTGTAAGTTTCGGATCGGGCGTAGGAGTCGGACTCGATGAGGATCGTGTCGTCCAGGTTNNAGGTTCTGGAAGGTGGCGGTGAGGGCTCCCGCCACGGAGAGGTTCCTCAGCACGTTGCTGCCCCGCAACAAATTGAAGGTCGGTCCGCCGGTCCAGGACTGGCCGTTGCTCAGGGTGACGGGCACCAGGGCGGCTGTGATGGCCGCCTGGACCTGAGGTATCGTCTAGTAGGGGCTGAGATCGATGGTGGCCAGCCCCGCCGCGATGGCGCTGTCGGTCTGCGCCGAGGTGTAGTAGCTCGCGGGCGCTGCAGCTATCGCTGCGTCCCTTTGGACGATGGTCCCGTAGGGCACCAGTGCATCGGAGATGGCCTGCGTCATTTGCGCCGTGGTGCTGTAGTCGGCCAGCTGCGCGTCCGTGTAATCCTTGGACTCGGTGATGGCAGCAACGAGGTTCACAGTCACCTCGGCCTGCGTGAAGTAATTGGTCAGAGCCGCCGTGATGGCGTCGTTGGTCTCCAGAACCGTGTAGTACCCGCCGAGCGTGGCGAGCACCCAGGCCTCGCTGGCCTTGGGGAGCAGCAGGGCGTCGGTTTGAGCGGTGCTGTAGCTGTCCACGGAGAAGGACAGGGCCCAATTGTCGTTCGCGAGGGCGATGCTCAGGGGAGCCACGGCGTGCAAGTTTCTAATTTGGTTGGTCCCCGCCAAGAGATCGAAGGTGATGTTCCCGGGCCAGGCGGGAGCATTAACGANNTCCGAGCGTGGCGATTTCCGCGAGCAAGCCGTCGATGGCGGATTGCAGCGAGACCTGCAGGGACGTGAGGTCCCCGCTGGTGGCGAAGGGCCCGGCGCTTTGCAGCGCGAGGATCGCCGCGTCAGCGGCGTCCAGCCGGGAGTCTTGCAGAGCCTGGCCCGCATCGTAGGTGGCCTGGGTGACGTACCCCAGCAGCGCCTTTGTGAGATCGCCCGCGGTTTGGTAGCCGGCGCTTTGCAGCGCTGCAATGAGCGCCTCAGCCGCGTCGAGCCGCCCGTCTCTCAATGCCAGCGCGGCGTCGAGGGCGGTTTGCTGGACGTAGGGCAGCAGGGCGGTGACGATGATGGTTCGGACTCGGATCCGCGAGAGTCTGAATAAGACCCGTTTGGATCGAAAAAGTATCGAGCTTTTGAGGCACTGTCAGCATTCGCCAAATCTGGCGAGTTGCGACAGTGGCCCGTTTTGATCGAAAAAGTAGCGAGCTTTTGAGGTGGTGTCCTGTGGCGGTGTCATGTTTAGCCAGATTTGGCTAATTGCGCCACCGGCCCGTTTTCGATCGAAAAGTAGCGAGCTTTTGAGGCGGTGGCATGTGGCGGTGCCAGCATTCATCAGATTTGATGAGTTGTGGCACCGGCCCGTTTTGGATGAACAAAATGGTTCAATATAAGTTAGTTGTTGGGAGCAAAGTCGGAATCCCGACCTTGGTATTTGGGGTCCAAAAGCTGGAAAAAAAAGGGCATAGTTTCGTTCCCCACACGCCCCGACTGGGGGCGACAGATGCTGCAAAAAAACGGGCAGCATTCCGTTCCCCGACAGCCCCCCCCTCGAAAGGGGGAGCTGACAGGGTTGCGAGGTTTCGGAGCCGCCCCATTCACTGGACGGCTCCCCGGTACCTTGCGGACCGGCGCGAAGCTTCACCG